AAATCATTCGAAATGGTGGAATTCGGCAAAAAAACACATCGGACGACTTGCAGGCCGTTAATTCACCTTAAAGGTGCAGTCGCTCAACATATATTTTGGGTCCACCGCTCCATGTAGGGGTATGCAAAACCGAATGGTCCGAAATCCAAACCCGAACTGGAAATTAAGTCTTTGTGCAAAACCCTAATGTCCCGAAATCCAAAAATCTGAAACTCGGATTGTGGGGGATATTTGGGTTCGGGTTGGGTTTGATTTTTGGCTACCCAACTCATCCGAAAACCTGAAATATATACATATATATTTTAAATATAGTATAAATATATTTATTTATCTAATTATTTTTGAAAATCTTAAATCGTAGTTGATCGTGTTTTTTTTTCTAATTTCTAAACCTACTATTGATTTCATCAATTTCTCTCAATCAATTGAATTCATCATCAAAATCGATTGAATATATATAATTCTTGAACTATAACTATATCCGAACCCAACCGACCTCAAACTGAAACCCCACCAACTTGAGCCCGAAGTATCAAAATTGGGGAATTCGTTTCCATATCTGAAATCTGATTGGATTTTTGGTTCATCCACCCAACTCGCCCAATGCATATCCCTAGTTGCACGATGAAACGGGATAACTTCACGACAGATCTCCAAGTTTTAGTCAACATGTTAAAGAATTAATCTTGAATCAAGTTACGGATGAAGAGTCATAATCTTCTTATGTATTACTACATGATGCTTACACTTCACTTGCAAGACCATGACTTTTCACCCCCTAATTTAAACCAATTTAATATGTCTTTTTTTTAATTATTTTCGAAATTTACATAATTAAAGATACTTGATATTGGGATATAACAAGAAGACATAACCCACAAAAAAGTGTTAATTAATGCATGTATAATTTATCCTGTGAACTTTTTCTTTTAAAGAAAACTCAAAAAGAATAAAATTAAATCCGTATCGTTCGAAATGTTATATTCTAAAAAATTTGGACAAAATTAATTACCCACAATTCTAACCCGTTCTATACGGAACCCATCTCTAAATTATTGAAATATTGTCTAATCTTAGAGGATATATATATATATATATATATATATATATATATTTGATTAATCTGGATATCCAACCCGTTATGCGAGCCGACTAATCCCAGGGCGATCACCTGCTTTGCAGATAGCCGGAGTCACCGCATTTGAACCTCTGTGGCCTCAAGATGATTTTTATTCCTCTTTGAATTTGAACCTGGAACCTTCTGGTACCTTTGATCTTTGGAGCCAAACTCAAACCAATCAGACACCACCCTTGTGATTAGAAACTATATTTTTGCTTGAAAGGAAAAGGTCGTTATATGTATATAAGATGCTATATTAATATCATTGTTTTGAAATGGTCCATGCAAAGACCAACTAAGCATAGTTGGTAAAGCATGTGACACCAACCTATTACCTATCACTATGCTTTCTTAACTAATCACTCCCAATTGCATCACCCATTCACACTATGTATGAAATTTACAATACACGCGCGCACACACACACACATATATATATATATATATAGTTGAGTTCATGTGAGATCAAAAGTTTTTCGTGAGACCCGTAAGACCAATTTATGTTCTTTATAAGCTAACGATCTAAAGTTGTACGGTGACAATTTTGTGATTATGAATATTCAGATTGTAGATCTAATTCAAGGGTTGAGAATTGGTCTTACGAGTCTCACGAAAAACCCTTGGTCTCACATGATCCCAAGTCTATATATATATATATATAGAGAGAGAGAGAGAGTTTTGAAGTATATAATATTTATATACGGCAAATAAAACAAATAAACTCACACACCCTCCTCACTTTTGATGAGGTTTGAACCCTTGACCTTCTAGAAGGCCAATGACTCACATACCGCTAGGCCAAAGGCCCTTTGGTGAGAGAGAGAGAGAGAGAGAGAGAGTGTTAGGTTCTAATAAGAATGAAAGTTATATTGAGAGATATAAAAAATGATCTTCATCGTTGGATCAATTAGGATTGAAGAGAATCACGACATCAACTCTCTCAAATACACCAGATTAATTCTCTTTTAAAGCGCAATTTTAGAGTTCAAAATGATCAAGAGTCAAAATCTCTTTTTACACTTTTCACTTTAACTTTTATTCTCACACAATTTTTCGTCCCTCCTTTGAATCTAACCTATGTATAACACACATATGTTATGTATATATGTAAAATTATCACTTTTTTTTTATAAATTTTGTCTACGAATTATGCATCCAGGGTGATTTTATCCAAAATGCAAGTTTTAAAACACTATTCTAAATATACTCGAAAGGATTTACATAGTATATATATATATATATATATATATATATGTGTGTGTGTGTGTGTAGAGTTGGGTTCACGTGAAACCAAACTGTTTTCGTGAGACCCATGAGACCACTTTTTTCCACTTGAAACTTCACGGTAAGACTCTGTGAAAGTAAAAAAAACGAACATTCACAGCATCTTGTTGTGAAATTTCAAGTGTAAAAAAATGATCACACGGGTCTTACGAAAACATGTTGGTCTCATGTGATCCCAAGTTTATGTGTATGTATATATATATATACATATAAGTGTGTGTATTTAAGGTATACATGCATGGACGTATGTATGTACGTGCATGTGTTAGTCTAAAGCTATACAATAAAATAGAAAAGATAGATCTAACAACCCACAATGCAACATGTGCTAAATCAACTTACATATCTTTGTTGATCAAATTAATTATATTAAACTAAAACTACTTAATTAGCTCCATTATTTATTTAACCCCTTGTTTAATTAATTTAACTTTGAGATTTATTTTCATGGACTTTAACATTGAAACATATATTAATTAAAAACCATATAAAATGGACTACACGAACCAATTCCAATTACTTTGTCATTTCCCTCCATTTCTAAGTTTAATTACCATACAATCTTTGTTTATCCTAAATTAATGTTATAAATCCAAAAAGGGGTAAATAAAACATGTGTCACCGTAATAGAATGTCTACTGTTGTTCTGATAAAATATTTAATGAAATTTATTAAATCAATAAATCTAAGTCTTGTAAGTACATACGTGTTATAATTAAGTTTCAAGACGAAGTTAAAGTCGGACAATTTAACAAATATGCACTATGAAATGAACAAACTATATTATAAAATATTTGACAATAACTCTTAAAAAAATTATTTTTATGCATGAAGTATTGTTTATTAATGCATTTACATAAAATTTAAGATTATAAGTAAATTGTACGCAAGTACAATTTATTAAAGTTTCATGTTTGAATTCGTGTACTAACTACAAATAAAGATAATCAAATACATGATAAACATATTACTTTGAATATAAAAAAATCTAAAATATAATTAAGATAATTTTTGAGTTCGAACAAAATATTTAATTATTATTTTTATAAAAAAATTATATTATTATAAATTACTTTATTATTAAATCTAAATTAAATCATAATAAAAATTGAATTAAAGAAAATTACACAAAAAATAAGAAATTTTAAATAATTAATTTGATATTAATATATTTTTTCAAATTTTTATGATATTTTTAAATTTATATTTTATTCAAAAATAAAAACATTATCGTTCCCCAGAACCACATAAACCCATCTTATATCGACAGCGACCAAAATTAAAATGAACATGAAAATCGAGATATATCTCATTACATTGAATGTGTATCCTTCTACTTTAATTTAAATATACATCATCCTTTACATTTACACATATAATCACTTCCTACATTTACGTAACATCCCCTTAAATTACATATTCGTCTAACCACATAGGTTGTGACGTACAAATTAAGTCTCAAAGGGATGTAGTGCAAAAATATTATCTATTTTAGGTTCGAATTCAGTTGTTGTCAAAACTCTTGTAGCCATGAAGGTTCACCTACCATGACTTCAGACCATTTACAGTCGTCCAAAGGATTAGTCGGTGGGTGGAAACTCACCCGAAAACCCACAACTCCCAAAAAATATTACACATTAGTCTCCTATTAAATTTGATTTGAGGTCCATGAAAAAACATAGAAAAATGGTTATATGTGATTTTTATGCAATAAACACATAGGATATTAGAAAGGTACACAAGGCATTACAACTATAGTCACAACTTTTACTTAAAGAATTATAATAAAGCTAATATATAGAGAAATTCATACGAGAACAGTAACTAAGTAAAATAATAAAAAACGGTCAGATCACATGTGATTTTACACTAAAATCACATATGATTCGCGCGACTTTAGGCCGCAGACCACATGCCTGCACACCTTTGCATTGACAATCAGTGTAAAATCACATGCGATTTTACATTCGATTCGGCTGTTTTCATATTCTTTTATCTGACTATCATTCTCGTTTTAACCTCCCCTCTGTCTATTTATATATATACACACACATATATATACATATATATCTAGTTTTCTTTTGTGTTTGAGAGGTGTCATATAACAATGTCATAGAAATTAAATTTGTAGTAGCGTGTCTCTCGATCCCCTATTTTCTCTTATGTATCTCTCGTCTTTTTCTTCATTTTATAAAAGTTTTAAAAGTTGACAACAACAAAACTTTAAGAAAAATTACTAAAACGGATATATATATATATATAGTTGGGTTCCGGTAAGAAAGATAGTTAAGGTGAAAATCGTAAGAAATGATCTCCATTGTTGGATGCATATTAGGATGAGATGCACCAGATTAATCCTCATATCAAGCGTAATTCATAGGTAGGTTTGAGATTAAAGGTGATCAAAGGTGTAGATCCGTTCTTACGTTTCTCACATTATTCGCCTATACATACACAATTGTCCAATAGAACACCCATCCATTGAAATGGTGGAATGGTAGATATAAACGAACTTCAAAAGAAAATCCAAGTTTGGGGTCTAACTGAAACATAATTTCTAAAGATTTTGAACCTATAAACATTCAAAATAGAAGAATTACATAACTCCAAACCAGTTCCTTAAAGTTTCAATCTAGAATCAAACCAAACTTTACGAAAAAGATGAACTCACTGTGTCAATTATACCACCATCACACCTACAAATCACCCTATTACAAAGCAACTAAAACAAACCCTTAAATTCATATACTTCTAGCCATCATCTCTTGAAATCTTCTGTACGATTCTTGCTTTTCCAACCTAAACTTCTCATGACAATTTGCTATGAATTTGTCCGCAAGAAGGTCGATCTCGTCGATCTCATCAACACCACGATCACCCTTGTTCTTTTCCTCAAGCCAATGGAGGTACCCAGACAGTTGCGACTCCGTCACCGTCTCATGACCAACGTACGAATTCCAGGTGGAATCGTAATACTCATGGTGGTTATACGCATCTTGCATTGCAGGTGACGTCACCGGAACCACATGAGACGAGCACCAGTTGTAGTGCAACCTAAATGAACCGAAATAAACCTTGTTCTTGTTTTTGCTTCGCTTCAAGATCAACGGTTCCAAGAATTTGATATTGTTGAGATGCGTTTCTCTGAGGAGATCAACGAGGATGGACTTAGCGTTCGTGAGGGCACGAGTGAGTCGACATATGCGGGAGAAGATGAAGTTGTAAATTAGGGTTTTAAATTTGACAGAGGTAGATAAAGAAGAAGATGGTGGAGGTACTCCCATGGGGAAAGAATGAGAAGATGAGGTGGTCATTTTTGTAGGAGGGGTCTCACTTCCAGTGGTATTTATAAGACATCTTGACTACTAATCATCATGATTTTATTATGCTCTTTCCAATTTTTTTTTTTAAATAATATTTTTTATTAATCTGGATATCCAATTTTATATGCGAATCGATTAATCTCAGGATGACCACCTACTTTACAGATAGTATGAAGTCACCATATTTGAACCTCCGTGACCATAAAGGAATTTTTATTTCTTCTTGGATTTGAAGTTGTTAATTAAAAAAAACAAATTATTATAGACGGAAGAAATATGTTGTACAACATATGTTTGTGTTGGCACAAAACAAGATGTTTGGTAATTCAAATGAAAGTTGGAAAGCACTTTTACAGATTTTGAAGTGTTGCTTTTCTTGCTTTTACTTTTAAACCCTTTTGTGTTTTTCTTGGGTTTTTAAATCCTAAATTCATGATAAGGATGTGTTGTCTCATTTTTTACATCATTTTACATAAAATAAAATCAACAAATTACTTAACTTTTAACTTCGTCTTTTTTTGACAGAAATAACCATTTTTTTAACAATAACATATATTTCTGATTTTTGCTGAGATTTCTTGTGTTAGTTTATAAAATTACTAACGACTTGTAAAAAATAGCTGTTAAAATGATGATTTACGTAATCTTATTTAAATAATTAAAATTTTTATGTGAGAAAATTAAAGTTACAAGTTGAAAGTCATATATGTCTAATAACCTATCAAATGTATCTTAAAAGTCATTGGCTAATAATTTTGTGATTATAAAATGGTAACATTTTAAACTATGTTCAATAAGATGAAGGCATACAGTTTTATGAATGTGTTGTTATTAATTTTAATTAATAAAAGGACAGTTTAACTTTATTTATAGACAAAGAAAATTTGTACATCACATAATTGACTAATTAAAGGTGCAAGATTGAGTTCAGGCGAGAATGAGAGTTAATGTGAGAAATGTAAGAAGAGATCTCCACCTTGGATGCATATTAGGATGAGATGTACCAAGATGCATCGGATCAAAAAAGTAGAATGAGAAAGTAAACGTTTACTTTTACCTAAACTCTCCTTCTTATACGATCATTTACTTAAAAAGTAGAATGAAAAAGTAAACAATTACTTTTATAAATAAATATTTAGGTGCCATTTACCAAACGCTTACCTAAGTAAACACTTACCAAGTCACTTTACTTTACATGATGAATATGACAAAGACTAAGAATCTTACCCGGTAAGGGCGAAGGTAAGAATCTAGGGTCTTATTCGATAAGTGAGGATGACGACTCTTACCATGATTAGCGCTTACCGGGATAAATTGTTATATAATTGCTAAATAGAAGTCAAAGCTGCACATTCAATGCACATGCTATGTTAGTTTGGCAATTAATCTTTTATTAATTATACTTCTTAATCACTAATTTATTCACAATTACGTCATTAACGTACAAACGATTTCATCATCTTTTTTTATAACAAATTTATAGTTTTTGTTTATCATAAATAATTTTTAAAACAAACAAACAATTACATGTATAATAATTTATAAACATAATAAATCATAGAAATTTATATAACAGTTATCATTTAACAATATGTTTAAAAATTCAATGTTATTTAATATGTGAAAATTAGAGATTGTTTCGTGTGTGTAAAAAAAACCAATTTCAAACGTTTACATGTGAACAACAACATATAAACATAAACACTACAAAAAACCAATGAACATGGTCTTTTTCAATCTATGAACTAGATTCAGGAGCCGTTTACCTAAATGCTTACCCGGTAAGCGTTTACTGGTAAGAGTCAATATTATAATTTATTTTATTGGGTAAAATTGTGGTACATCAAAACGTATCTTATGCAACAATTTATCTAGTAAGCGCTTAAACGGGTAAGAGTCGTCACTCTCACTTACCAGGTAAGACTCTTCATTCTTATCATCGCTCTTATCGGGTAAGATTCTTGCCTCTTGCCATGTATACCCAGTAAGTACTTACCGGGTAAACGTTTAGTAAACATAATTTAAACATTTTTTATATGTTTGTGAAACAAAAAATACAATTAAATTTTTTTATATTGTGAACCGAATACATATAAAATAAATGTATGTTAATCAATATATTAAATTTCAGTCTTAGATAAGAAAAAAATGTAAAACAATACCTTACAATAATAGTTCTCAAGTTTATCACAATTTCATGGATTCTAAAAGATTCAGTTATATACAGATATTACAAAATATACTTTGCTTTAAAACTAATAATTGTATTTGATTATAAAAATAACATAATAATAATCATAAGATAAAAAATGTTCCACTTGACAACTAAAACGATATGTTTAATAACTTGTATTTTGTCTTTTTTGGAAGAAACAATCATTCTATTATTTTAGAAGAGAAGACATATCTATACACTCTGTATAAATCCTAGTATCTTGTTCCTTCCAAGATCCTATCTTAAATCAAATTGCTTGTTTTATTTATCAGATATATACGTGTTTTTTTTAATCTCGTATTTCTTTGTCATAATATAGTTCATACATGTTATTATTCTATTAACGAATATATATATATATATGTATATATGGTTGGGTTCACGTGGGACCAAGGGTTTTTCGTGAGACCCGTGAGACTAATTTATGTTCATTGATCAACTTTATAAGCTAATGATCTAATGGTAGATTTAATTCAAGGGTTGAGAATTAGTCTTACGGGTCTCACGAAAAACCATTGGTCTTACATGATCCCAAGTCTATATATATATATATATATATATATATATGTGTGTGTGTGTGTGTAACTATATATATCTTGTTTCAATATTGAACTATGAGGAAATAATCAAATTACTATACAAAATTACCAAATGATTAACTGTTTAACATTTTAAAACGCTAAACCACTAAGATGTCAGTTTTGTTGTAGTGTGTTAATAACTATTTGGATTTCACGTTAAACTCATGTTTCAATTCATCCAAAGAAACAACATTGGAGGATCAGATATGTAAGAACCGGATGACATGTGTTCTTATTACACACAATATATGATGACACACAAAGATTTGTATAGCAAAATCTGTAAAGACGAATGTGCTTCCATGTTATTTCGGTAAGCCAATAACTTAGTGACACATACATATATGTTTATAAAGTATACCTACTAAAAGTCTAAGCCTTTTTGTTTTGTGAACCCTACATTGGAACCGTTCTATGAACCAAATAATTGGTGATGAGAACACAGAAATATGTTGATCGTAAAGTTTTGATCGATTTGAGCTTGAATGACATCATGCTTTGTGTGCATGGGCTTCGGAGGTAATTGTGAACGCTCTAGAAGGATCGTATGTAGTTTAACTTTTATTTTCAAAGTAGTTTCAAGAAGTAAATGACTACATAACAAGATAGAAAATGAGCTACAAGAATAAAATGAAACAAACCAAGGGGTCTTTGCCTTAGCGGTATCGTAGTTCTTAACCTCTCAGGAGAGGTTAGGGGTTCAAACCTTATAAAAGGTGAGAAGAGTGTGTGAGTTTATTTGTTGCATTTGTTATATATAAATAGAAAAATTGTCATCATAATTTCATGTTTTATTGTTATCATCACATCAATTATATCATTTTTGTTGAATTATCTAACATAAATTATTAGGGGAGGTTGAGGTATTAAAATTCTATTTTTTGGAGATGTTGTTTGTTTTTTAAGAGGTGTTAGAATTCTGAAATTTTATTTTACTTTTGATTGATAAGAGATGGTGCTAATTCTGAAAAATAGAATCAATAAAACCGTTTGTTTTTATAAACTGATAGATGTATGAATATGTATAATTATCTATTTTACCCTTCAAAATATTATAATGTTGAATTTATGTACATTTATACAATTTTATCTGTTTATTCATCATCAATACAAAATTTACCATTTTTATACTGACAATGAAACAACCACTGCATAGCATCTATCTCACTGTCATCTAAATAACATCCATTGGGGGCTTAAATGATCGATTGAGTAAGGAAGGATTGATTAAGGTTAATCAATTGAGAGAGATAAGTGATTAACAAACACTCGTTGTTAGGGATCTAGAGAATAATAACAAGCAAATAAGGAGTTGGTTTACCTCTTACCAGATAAAAGGACGACAAGACATAAATGCATCTGAAAAAAAAAAAAAAAAACAAATAGTCTAAAGCTCTACCTCTTATTGAATCAGATATAAGAGGCTGATAAAAAAATTATTTAAAAACAAACAAGGAAAAAGACTAAATATTAAGAAAATGACATCATCTAGATAGCCTAATCCATCTTTTAATACATGATTAAACATTAAATCATTTCATAACTTATTCTTATGTTTTCTAGGCCTAAGGGCCTGTTTGGTAATTGTTTAATGATTTGGTACAAAATGATTAATAGACTCTTGAAATATAGTGCAAAATAAAATATAATTGTTTGGTAATTATTTATAATGAAATTAAGACACTAAATGGTTAAGGGAGGCTCATGATATAAACTCATTCAGAGGGTTTTAAAATCATTGAGAAACAAACCTTTTTTTTTTTGACAAATAAGATAAACTACTTAAAAATTCAGAGGTTGTCTCTTGATGAAGCTATTAAGAGGTAAACAAACAACTCCCTATAATCATCTCCAACCGTTAATTCTGTGAGGTTCTTGATCAGATTTTTACAAAAAACTGTCATAATTACACGTTTAGTTTGTCATTATTTATAATCAAGTTATCTCGTTCTTATGGTTTTTGCAATTCATTTGCTAGCATATTGTATTTTATTTTAATTATTAACGATTCTATGAAATATTTTATTTTAATTATTTGCAGAATAATGGACCGAGGTTTGATGCAGTTCAAATCGGAATCTCCGGTCCAGCAGTGATCGTAGGAAGGAAAGGTGACGAAACAATAATCAAGGACTCGTCGACCTGAAAATTGTATTACAAAGTTCGTTTTCTCCGAGTCGATCATCTTCCGATCTCTCCAAGGATGACTTGGTACAAGGTATTTAATTAAGCTGAAATTCATCATGTTCTTTTGTTCAAATTCATTCAATGTTCTGATTAATGAATGAGATTTTTACATCTCTTGTTTGCAATTAATCAGCCAACTTTCAAGGCTCCAATAGGCAATGATCCTGTGTCGTTGGATTTGGAAGGATTGGGGAGAGGGTTCGTTTGGGTTAACGATAACGATATTGGTCGATACTGGCCGAGTTTCATTGCTCAAGAAACCGGTTGCTCCACTGATGCTTGTGATTATCGTGGTCGATATGATAATAAGAAATGTGCTTTCAACTGTGGTAAACCTACACAAAAGTGATAAGATATTACGGTTTATGGTTTATTAGATACTTTTTTTGGTTGTTTTGTGCTCAACTGTTTGGATATGTTATGATCAATGTTCCTCGCTCGTTTTTGGTGGATGGTGAGAACAAATTGGTCCTTTTTGAAGAATATGGAGGCACCCCGTTGTCGGTCAGTCAACTTCCAAACCATGAGGGTTGGAATGGTTTGTGTTGTGGTAATGCTTATGAAAAGAAAAAACCAATTTATTTGATTTGATTTGCTTCATTCGGAGATGTCCGAAGAAGCTGTGGGTCCATTTACTAAAGGCTCGTGTCAAGAACAAACCGATGCATTATCCATAGTCGAAAAGGTACATATATATGCATACATACATACAAACTACTCATATCTATAATATAATTGTCATTAGATATGAAGATGTATATTGAAGTTTGTGGTGGGAATATAATTGCAGGCATGTGTTGGAAAAGAAACATGCTCTATAGAAGCAAATGAAGCAGTATTTGGATCAACAAGCTGCTCCAATGATGGCGTTACAGAAAGACTTGTTGCTGAGGCACTTTGCTAGTTTTCTTTCTATTATTACTGCTTTTATGTATATAGGGATTTGCTACTTTCAGATGGTTTGATTAATTATAAATGATTTATTACTATAGAGTTTTGTTTTCTATGATTTGAATTCATGATTTAGAAATCATATATACATATAAACAGGGAATTCAAGGCTTCAAACAAAAACACAATTCGTTTTTGATTAGATTCATAAAAAGCATCTATGATTTTTCGACTTCTTATCTCCTCTAACAAGGCAATACATGTGTGATATATCTTCCAATGGGCGGGCTTCAACCGGCGAGTCAAACTTCCATCTTCACCCAATTTATGTGTGTAGCCATCCTAATGGTTCACATATTCAACAGCAATGCTGTATGATGCAAGAAAACAATTAATGTTGACAACAGCCATGCAGGTTAAACCACATGAAAGCACGAGGCTATATAATACATATGTATTTGAAATCGTAATTAATCCAAGTATTATGACACACGATAACCATTGGTCAAGTGTTTTATCCCTTCTAAGAATCATATCTTCCTTAAAATACAACTACCATTGTGTATGATTATCTATAGAAAATTACTTTCTTGAATGAAATTATGAGAAGCATGAATTTGTACCTGTATGCAAAAATCTTCCATCATCATTAATCATCTCTAGACTGCTACTTCCTTGTGGTACCATGATGCTTTTACCTTTAGTGATCATCTTCATCTATGCCAGGACAATCACCCAACAGTGCCTCCCTTGATTCATACTGGGAATAGAGTAAACAAAAGTCAAACAAACAAAGGGTAGAAGCTGCAAAAAAATTCTCACAAAATCTTAGTTTCTATAACTTTTTACAAGCTGGGTCTTTTTGGAAACAGTCTTTCTACACCTTGGGACAGAGGTAAGGTCTGCGTACATCTTATCCTACACAGACCCTAGTCTGTACAGATTGATTTATCGACATTAAGCTAGCAATCGAAGAGGTGTGTTGTAGAGGTGTGTAGAGCTCACAAATCATATGAATATATATAGAGTGGTTGAACATGATTGAACTTGAAAGCATAAAATGGCAACACACCTGACATCCACAAAAAAGACAGTACTGAAAATCATCCCTCAGCTTCATCAATATCTCGTGCAAATCCTGCATTACAGAGTCACCATCATATTTACGGTGTTATTTTCACCACTTCCACAACGGAAGTGCTTTGTATACCGAAGCTTATACAATCTAAAATGTAGAATTCAGTAAATCTAACTAACTTCAATTCAACAGTTTCTTCAACAGTCTGCAAAATCATCTCCCCCTTTTCATTGAAAACAGTTTATTGATTCCATTAAAGTTCTAAAATTATGTAAAAAGTGGAAGCTTTCTTCAATGAATCATCTTCACAGTTTCTTGGACTCCTTATAACAGATGCATATATTTGTTTATTGACAAATGTTGTTTCGATGTAATGAAAACAAGAAAACAAGAAAACAAGAAAACAAATGGGGCTAAGATGGAGCATTAGGCATTTTATCATAGAAACTTGATCAACATATCTAAGCTATCATTTCTCCATGTGTGGTAACTAACCGCATGTAGATAAACCAACCCTTTTTCCAGAAAAAATGTAGATAAACTAATCACTTCATTTCTCAGTTTAGAATATATCTAAAAAAGTAGAAGGCAATTCCAAAAAAGATAAGGTAATGGTTCCAGCATTTCTAACTACCTGTAATGATCTTTTTCCTCCATCTATTCTCTGTTTATTATAACCTCAAGAGAAACTAGAAGGCAGAAGGGACAGCAGAAAGAAATAAGTTTACTCCTTATTATCTAAGTTGGGTGCCGGACTTCAAGAACCATACTCACAATAAGAAGTAAAATCCATTGTGATCATCAAAAAGCCTAAATTCCATTGAAGTATTAGATTATTCCAAGAAAACCAAACCACACGCACCCACTGTATCCTAGGGTTTGTGTTATATGATGTAGGCAGACATTTCCTCTTCCCCAAGCGGGTATAGAGGCCATCTACCCATCTCCGCAAAGACCCTAGATTTGCCAAAACTTTTTGACAGAATTTTTGTTCAAAAGTTTTATTTCTTTGAACGTTGTGACTTGTGAGTATTTTAAGAACACACTTGAGAGCATAAGACAGGAAAAGATTACAAGAAAAAGATTGTGTGCAAGCAGACAACAAAAGTGACAGTGTTTAGTCAATATTTTACTAGTCAAACAGCCCCAAATCTTCAAGAACAAATTCAAAGCAAGTTGAAACTAAGCAGAAATGGAAGATAATGATCAACTACTAGCACTAACAGTTTCTCGCAATATATCAGCAATAACAACACAATATGCAAGTAAATAAAGGAGATATTGACACCAAGATTTTTACATAGAAAACCCAAATCCGGTAACAGTAGTTTAGATTATTCTGAGACAGATTCTTAATTGCAATCTTGACTTCTCTAGATAATCAGCAAAAACCTACAAACAAAGATCTAAACATAACAAAACTGAACTGAGAACTAATTCCCAGTAGCAGTAAAATCATGCTTTCAATAAAAGTGTTAACAATCAGCTAGCCAAAATGCAAGTACCTAAAAGTATGAAGCAATTAAACCATCTGTCAAACTCCATCTGAATTGATCATTGTATATTGAATTCAATCCAATCAAAATCATCAATGAGATGTGCATATAAGATTCAAATAAATGCAACTAATTACCTCTTCTGTAATCACTTCCTCTTCTTCATCCTCTCCCTCCTCTTTTTCATCATCATCTTTCTTCTCCACCTCCACAACCTCTTTGTTCTCCAATTGATCCAAAACCCCTTTAGCCTTGTGAAAATTCACAACGACCCTCTTATTCCGCCACCGCTCCTTAACCCTACACCCAAAATCTGACATCAATTCCTCCTCTCTCCTCCTCTTTTCCCACAACATTTCCTCCTCCTTCCTCAGCTTCTCCTTTATAGGATCCTCCCGCCCAATCCCAGCTCTGGACCGCCGAATCTCCAGCCCCACAGGCTCAGCCCGACCCGAACCACCTAAACCAGACCCAGGGGTGTAACCCATCTGCTTCAACATCTTGAAACCAATGTTGGACTGTGGAATGGCTGATTCTAGGCCAGCTAGGGTTCGATTATCCTCTTCTACTTGCTTGATTTCTCGCTTGAGCTTTCTTTGTTCTTGCCAATTTCGGATTTTCGGTCTCTTTTTAGAATATTGTGAATTAGCTGCTTTACTACCGCCATTGACGCTAGGAACCTGATACAAATTGAAAAAGTTAGGGTTTTGAATCATATTCATTTGATATAGGAACCTGGAACAAATTGAAAAAGTTAGGGTTCTGAATCATATATTCATTCGATATGTACAAGATAATAACTATATTTGGATAGCTCACCTTTGGGGCGGGAGGGTTTAGGGAGAGTTCGGATTGGGAAGGTAAGAACTGAGAGAGGTCGCCCATGTAATCGTCTTCTTCTTCCGCCATTTCTACACTACTTTCCAAATGTCTCTTTTCTTCCTTTGACCCAATCTACTCTATTGTCAACTATCTATACAAATATGGGCATAAATTTTAGTGTTTTGGGAGACTTATTCTTTTTTATAAAAGTCTTTGTTAATTATTTAATTTATTAGAAGTTAGAATGATTTAACTTCTTCAAATAATATTTATTATCGGTTTGATATCGATATAAGTTGTCTATCTAAACACTTAAAAATATTTATTATCGATATCATACCTGAATAAATCAATAAGTTATTTTTATAAACAATCTCAAACATCCCTTTCATTGACAAAGGATTAAATGCTATGATTTTATAATAAAAAAAATTATTTATGTTGTCATTTTGAAGGTTTACATTAAAACAGGAGAAAATTATGAAAATTGCCTCCCTTTTACAAGGTTTGTATATTCGTATAATTTATTTATTTGAATAAAATTGTTTCACTCTTTTATCAACTAAGCTATACGTTAACAACACGATTCATATATTATAAATAATAAATTGTTAGACATGTTGAAGCTAAAAGAACCAATTTAACTGAAAAGGTTCGAAAATTTAACTGTCATGTCCAACGTATACCAAACGCACCATAAAGGATGCAATCCCTCTATTCAAACTTGTCGCCAAGAGCAACAACGACATTGGAGTCGTTGCTGTAAAAAATTACCATCTGGCAAGGATGATTCAAGTAATGGAGGTTAGATATCCCGAGGTTAAAATAGAAGTTTCCAAATTAGGTATAGAATAATTTTTTTACAGATGGATATTTGAAGCTCATACCATGTTGATTTTAGTGCTTCAAAGAAAGACCTTTACGTGGTGTGAAAGTCATTCTTGTATAGTAGCGATATTGTGCAGGGAGATGCAAAAACGCCCAATTCCATGCTAGACAGCGAAGTAGCTATTCTAATTGGGAATAATCCAAGTGATGGAACTTATGGAGATCGAAAAGGAAATATAGTTTAAGGACTATTTTTGTTATTTGTTCATAGTTTAGTCTAGATATATATTGTTCTGTTATTTCTTCTATGTAATTCAAGTCTTATAAGATCTTCATCTTCTCAATGATTGTATAGAGAAAGCATTCTCTATAACTATCATCTCTTAATTGACTAAAGCTAATAGAAGCCAATGCATGGCCGATACTAAAAGGAATGGGTGTGCACGGAAGTTAATTTTTCGATCAATAATAGCTAGAATGAACCACAACGGAATATGAAACCAATAAACAATTTGAATGAAAACGAAAGCAAGATCAACCCTGAAATAAATCAAAAACAGCCAAATGCATCTCATGATCTAGAGACGTGTTGAACGTTCATCTCTAACTAATACTACTAACCACACGGTTGAAACCCCTTTCAAGAAGAGGTTGTGAAGGATGGTTGAAAAGCATTCAAATCCCTTTATTTTCAGGACAACAAAACATAATACATAAGATACAAGATATATTATAACAAAATAAATATATATATATATATATATATATATATATATATTATTATTGATCAAATATCTTTTTGAAAAGTTGTTAATTAAAGAGAATAAAATCAATTTAAAAAATGGGTGAACCGTGAAGTATCATACATATTTTTTTCAAGTATATGATATTTATATACGACAAAACTCACACATATTTCTCACATTTGGTGAGCCTTAGACTCTTGACCTCTAGAAAGGTTGAGTCTTTACGGGTAATTTGAATACCACTGGTCAATGACCTTTTGATACATGTTCAGAGCTTTCGATTACAACTTTGTGACACGAGAGTGTTATATTCCCATCACCGCCCAAGATACAAACCAATTTTGGATGACTGAGAATGTGAAAGTGACAACCAATTTTCCGACCTCCATAGTCACAGGCTCCACCAAATCTCTTTTTGTTTATCAACTGAGAAAGTGATATTACACATACACATAATACATTAAAATATAGTATTTTGATGAAAATGACTGGTTTTTACCAAAAAAATAACGTATTTGATGAAAACTAACCCAAAAATTAATAAATGAGAAACGTGTAAGGGAGCATAATTATAAAAATATTTTGTTTTCAAATAAATAATTAAAAAAAACATTGTTACGTATTTCTTACCTAAGACTTGTGAAATTTACGATTTCATCCCTGGTGTACGACTTTTACTGCATAGATTACAATAAGCTTTATTCGTACAACAAAAGGGCGCGCGAACGTAACAAACTAACTGTACGTTTGCTGACGTGGCACCCGTTATTCTTTTTACCCGCTTCTTGTTCCCTGCTGCACTTCTCTCTTCTTTCTCTTCAACACTTTTTCTCACTGGATGACAAGTTTACAGGCTTCTTCGAAGGTATATGATCAAGAACTCTTGAGTTTCTGTAATCATTTCTGTCATTGGTTTCATATTTCGTCGGTTTCTGCTTTTGATACCTATAATGTACGTTTATATTTGTCTCTTCTAACAGTGAATAGGTTGTATTATTTGATCTGGATTTTGTGCGAAACGAGAATTTCTCTGAGATGTTCTGTTTTTGTGTGTTTTCAGGCGATTCCTAAGGAATTCTTTGGCTAATTTGTCTACTGAGATAAATTTCAACCATGATTTGTGACTGTAGATGCTTGTACTTCAGTGTATTTGCGTTGTTGGTGCCTCTGGTTCCACAGGGTTCTGCCCATACCGATAATTCCGACGGTATTTCTTCTCGATTCTTGGACTTTTGTTGATTTTGACGTTCTTAGAGTGAATTATTTATTGAATTTCTATGAAGAACCATATTCTCGTTTTCTTCCAAGTACGGTGGAATTCATGGTTTTACTGATAACGATGAAGTACCAGACCTTTTATTCTCTTAATATCAAGCACCACACCTTTTGTGGTTATAGGATTTAGCGTTTGTCATTCTTGAAGAGAACGATGGCAATAAAGATTGGAATTCTTCTTTTATTTAAATTCACATTATTGATGCTTCCAAATAAAACGATGAACCATGGGCTTTTGGAATTAGACGATGGGTCAACTAAAGATAGCATTGATACAAAGTACAATGAAAATAATTCATTTTGGCTTAGTTATACGGTACTGTATGGTAGCCTAGGAATGAACTGTAATTGCTCACGGGACCGTGCATGATCTGTTTGTGTAATCTGGGCAGTCAAAGCTCTTCAAGATCTGTATAGGTCTTTTAATACTCCACCACAGCTCAAGGGATGGAAATCAAATGGTGGTGATCCCTGTCAAGAATCATGGACTGGAGTTTCCTGTGCTGGTTCTTCGATCATCGAAATGTAAGTTTGACTATTCCTCCTTATTTTTGGTTGTATCAACCTTTCAGAAGAGTCACACATTTGTTTCTATTCATTACCAATGAAGTGTGGCTATCTAAACTATGAAAAAATTCTGATTTTCAAATGATGGCAATTCTAAACATATAAACGGTTATAAAACTTGATACTTTCGGAAATGTGACTCTTTGTTTGGGAGGGAACTTTCTTGATATTCTACAATGAACTTATCTTCACTTAACTTGCAGCAAACTTGACAATCTAAACATTAGTGGAAACCTTGGTTACCAGCTCAATAATCTCCATCACTTGAAGCAACTGTAAGTTGTTTTGATCATGCAATTGTAAATTCATATGAATTTTACATAAATATATAAATGTGATGCTTTCTATGCTAGGGATGTTAGCAACAACAACATTTACGGTGAAATTCCATACGGCCTGCCTCTGAATCTAACACACTTGTAAGGTTCACTCTACTGATGTTGCCATACAGAATGTACCTTCATTCAAGCGTTATTCTTTCACAAGTATTTCTGTGTAAAATTCCCTGTGAATGCAGAAATTTGGCATGCAACAATTTAAGCCAATATATACCTTACTCGATATCTTCCATGAAAAATATTCGACATATGTAAGTTGACCCCCCCCCCCCCTTCTAAAATCTCCATCACCTACTATCAAACAGTTACGATCATTTTCGTTGCAGGAATTTGAGCCACAATTTTCTGTCAGGGCCTGTTGGGAATGTATTTACAGGCCTAGCATCTCTCAAAGAAATGTATGATATGAACTTCTTTTCTCAATATGAATCAAAGCACTAGTTATATATATTGGTCTATGACCTCTTTCACTGTATGATACCATCTCTTGCTTTTACCAAGAAAAGCAGATTTTTCGTTCCCTATTTTGCATTAAATTGACTGTTTTGACAGGGACCTATCGTACAACGAATTTATTGGAGACCTACCAAGTTCATTTGGAACGCTGAGAGGCCTCTCAAGACTGTCAGTGCCTTCCAATTGATTACTACTTAGACAAATTATATGCCTTAAAGTATCGTTGGTGTTATTTTATTGATTGATGGAATGAGTTTGCAGGTTCTTGCAGCATAACGAATTCACAGGATCAGTAATCTTTCTAGCTAGCCTTCAACTAACAGATCTGTAAGTTGTTGGCAACATCTTTCAGGTGTTATCTATTCGTTTTGGTAATGATAAAGATTCAAATGCTTACATTTCAGGAACATTCAAGATAACCATTTTAGCGGTATTATTCCCAAACAGTTCCAATCTATTCAGAATCTGTGGTAAGCTACCACAATGAATTTTTTTTTCCACATGTTCTTATTTAGTGTTTGCATTTCAATCACATTTGCCTGTTCTCTATGAAGGTTTGGGGGTAATATGTTTGACAAAGGGAACAATAGTCCACCCTGGGATTTCCCTATGGAAAATCTGCCTGATCCGAATATTACCGCTCCATCTTCCGAGTCAAGTGCTATTACAAATGATCCTTCGCCTGAATCCAGCAGGCACAAGAAGAAAAAAATACGCTTTATAGTGATTATGGTTGTTGGATCTACTTTTTTGGTAGCGTCCTTAGCAATTTTCATCAAGATTCGCTTCCATAATCGTGCTAGAAAGCTTAGAAGACGACCAGAGAGTAGTGAAGGCTCACGCCATTCTCTTCCAATCAGTATGGCCAGAGGCAAGCTCAAAGAGGCACTAACAATTGCATATTGTTAAATGAAGAATTACTATTATCTTCTGTATTTAATTTTTTAACAATATCATCTATTATCCTCTTTTCTATTACAGATTGCTCATCTACAGCTCTTGACGAGAGCCCGGAAGTCTCAGCTATCAGTTCACCTACTGCTGGCCCAAGGCATGTACCTCCAGTTCGTACTAAAGTTGTGAGAGTCAATAGGAGGAGAAGTTTTGCTAAAAAGAGTAGAATACCGATAGGTGCAAAATTATACACTGTGGCTGAATTGCAATTAGCAACAAATAGTTTCAACCGAACTAATTTTTTAGGAGAAGGGTCTATCGGGTCCGTGTTCAGAGCAGAGTTCCCTGATGGACAAGTATATCCTTCACACTGTTTAATCTAAATCAAGAAACAAAAGTGACAGTATTCGTTCTGATTCTTTTTTGTCTTGTGCAAGATCTTTGCGGTGAAGTGCATCAGCATGGTGGTTCTCTCTCTTCTCGAAGAACAGCAGTTTTTGGAGGTGATTTGGAACGCATCCCGTTTAAGGCATCCTAACATCATACACCTTCATGGGTACTGCACAGAGCAGGGACAACATATGCTTGTGTATGAATACGTAAGAAATCTTTCCCTTGACGACGCATTGCATTCTGACACATACGTGCCTTTGTCTTGGGGACTTCGGCTTCGAATTGCTCTTGGAATCGCTCGAGCTTTGAAGTAAGCATCTCGTGTCTGTCTCCTTCCAAGTTTTATTTTGGCTTTTGAACACTAATTTTGAATGCCATCTTTCAGTTACTTGCATTCCATATGCATGCCTCCTTTGGCTCACAGAAATTTGAAGGCAGCTAATGTTTTACTCGATGAAGATCTAACTCCACGCATCTGTGACTGCTGCCTAGCTGTTTTGAAACCCCTAACAATCAACAGTGCTAGAGCCGAGGTACAATAAACCTAACAAACCTTATATATCGCAGGCAGAGGTAGGGTCTAGGACAGAGGTAGGGCCTAGGACACGTAGGATATATGCAAACATACATGGTTGGATATTTCTTACTTTCTTGAACTAGTGCCATAATATGTTTAGATACTAAAGCGTTTTTCACACAATTTTCCTGCTCAATGACAGCAAACAATTTTGTTTGGTAAAATATGTATATGTAGTTGAACAAACTCCAGATATTTGAGATCTTTCAGAGGAAGGTGCAGACAATAAACTAGTTTCTGATATTGTTTACTAATATACATACAGCACCAAACCAATCAATCCTTATAATGATGATTTAAATAGGCTTCTGAAACGGATACCGGCTGCATTGTTCCTGAAGACAACCAATCTGTAACTAGTGACCAGAAAGATGATATATACGCCTTTGGAGTGCTTCTACTCGAGCTTTTAACTGGGAGGAAGCCTTTCGAGGGGTAAACCCACACATGATCTTCATCTATTCGAATTCTACTATGCAATTAGGTGATGTTAGTTAAGTGATCATGTTTTCCTACTTTCTGAACTAACAGAAATGAATCAAGAGAAGAGAATTCGCTAGTGCAATGGGCGTCTTCCCGGCTTCATGACAACGAGTCCTTGGATCAGATGGTTGAAGCAGCCATCAGAAAATCAATTCCCCCCAAGGCTCTCTCGCGGTTTGCTGATGTGGTTTCACTCTGTACTCAGGTATGTTTCATGTAATAAAGACAAGGCAAATTGAAATACATGTTAATATGTTGTTAACAATACAGGCGGAGAAGGGATTCAGACCTCCAATGTCAGAAATCATGGAATCACTGGCACATTTGCTAGAAGACTACCGTAAGAGTAGAACAGCTGCAGAGACTGAATTTGATCCATACGAGAGGTCTTTTCGTTCTACACACTCGCGCTTCATTGGATCACCAACTATGAGCTATATGTCTATCTGATCTTGGAAATTGCTTCCACCAGAGACCACAAAAGATTCATCATCGCCATTAGAGAAAGATAGAGTAAAAATAGGGATATTAGCACCAACAATTCTACATGAACACCAAAAATTGTTTGTTAATATGAGATTTGATATCCATAGTATCCAATTGTTGTACTTCCTTTGACTTTTTCCAGATTTTGTTGAAATTGAGATGCATATCCATAGTGTATCCAATTGTTATAGATCGTTGCATTAATGGTGTTTTTTTTATGGAAACTAGGATTCAAGATATTTAAATTAAACTATGGTTGTTAATAATTTTCATCACAAATCTAATATAGTTTATAACCCTATTAATTATACCAGTTTTTATATGCTAAATTGAGAACACTCAATTTCAACTTTAAAAATATGATATACAACCTTGCAACATGTTCCAAATTTATGAAAATAATCAATTAAAATAATTTGTACCATGAATTTTGCACCATTCCAAAAACTAATTCCTATTAATTAACATATTATGTAATTTAGTATTAATCAACAAAAAGTATAATTCGTGATTAGTTTCAATTATATTATGTAATGTTAGAATTGAATAATTTTAATGTATTTTTCACATTTTACATTTTAATATGAGGGATTTCAAATAAATACCAAGATTTCAAATTCAAACAATTCTACAAACCAAACATGTGATTGAAATGAATTTGAAATCCAAATCTCTCTAAACCTATTTCATTTCTGCAAACCAAAGGGATCGGAATTATTTTTGAGAGATTCAAATTTGGAGGGGTTTGAATTGGAATAAATTTGAAATCATCGATGTGTTTGGTTTGTAAGATTTGGAGTGAGATTGAATTCCATTATTTATAATTAAAAGAAACTATAAAAAAATTGTAATAAAAATTAAACTATATTTTTATTAATCGTTTATTACAAAAAACAAATATTTTTAATATTTTTTAAAACTTTATTTCATACAGTTTTACGGAATCCTACGAATTCCCGAGCATGTCCTAAAAATGTAGGATTTCAATTTAATCTTAAAATTTCAAATCCGAACAATTCAACAAACTAAATAGATCATTGAAATGAACTTAAAATCTAAATCCTTCAAAACCATCTGATTCCGGTAAAACTAAACGGGAAGTTAGAGTTGAATGATTTTTAATTTTTAAAGATCTTTCAAATCTTCTATTTACCAAAAAAAAAATAAAAATCAGATAAAAGTTGTTTTGTATTAGAACTTAACATTTACCTTATATCTAATAAATTAGGGGTTGTTTGGCAATTACTGAATGGTTTGGTACAGAATGATTAAGTTGTTAGAATTATTACGAGGCTCATGATATAGTGTAAAATGAAATATAATTGTCTGGTAAATATTTTTAATAAAATTAGGGCTCTGAATGATTAAAAGATATCATGATACGAAATCATTCCGGGGATTTTAGAACATCAAGAAACAAACCTTTTTTTTATCAAACAATATTCAATTTTTAATAATTCAAAGAATGCCTAAAACTATTAAAAGGTAAATAAACAACCCTTAATTACCTTATCTCTAACAAATTAGTTTTGTTGTTTTGAGATTTTTAAATGTGAATGATAGATACCACCTATATTCTATGATTCCTATATTTCTTGTTTTCTTCTACCCCCATTCCCTTTGTTCTCAAATCCATTGGCTTCTTCACATATCTAACAGGGAAGCAAGCAGATCTTGGTACCAACTACATCACACTCATCTTCGTACATCTCCTACAATTACTTGTGAGTATTTTTCTTCATTTCCCAAGCATAAATACCCCTATTATTTGATCTAAGAGGAATTCGAATCACTTAATTTGTTTATCTTACTTCAAACTGTTCAACAGATTCTACTCCTTTTATACTAGACGATGATCATTACAATTTCAGATTAATATTCCTTCTGCTCAATTTAGGGTTTTATTGTCTGTTTTTTTAAGCTGCTACTTTACATCTTGGAGCCGCTAATGATACTATATCCTTCGTTAATTAAGTTTCTGAGATGATATTTTATACTTGTAGACGGACATTTCAATTCAAGGTATCAAAGCAGTTTAACTACGCCCCAGTAGATTGTAATGTGTCATTGAACATAACAATCTGCAATATAGATATGTAGTGAAAGTGTCATATTATTTGAATACAAGTAAAAGCTAGGTATCCTATGGTTACTACTAGGTGAATTCCGTATGTCTGGGAGGTTGACATCTCTGTAATGGAGTGATCATTTTTTCTCTTCTCAAGATCCTTTCAGCTGTAAAGATTGATCTTGGTTGTATGACTGAATCTTTTAACTTCACCTCTTGTTTCTGAACTTGGGTAGGCATATGTAACTGTGGTGTTTTTAAATGATCAAAGTATTTCTATGTTGAAACCATGAATTTGTTTTATTTCAGTATATGAAAAATTCCTTGCTCCAAGAAGTGACGATAAATTATTGTACATTTCTACTTGCTAAATACCAGGATATTGTTGAAATCTTTGTTTTCAAATGTTAGAAGTATACATTAATCTACTGGTTGTAGGGTATTCTTAATACTCATCAGGTATATATAGTTCAGTCATTATCTATAGTTTTTGTATGCTAGATTAATAATCTACTAGCTATTCATTTTTATCTTGACTAACAGAGTCATTTTTATAGCGTCTATGCATAACTGTCTACAAGTTATACGTTGTTACCTTACTTACAAACTGATTTAACTTAACTTCACTAGTCTGTATTCTAGGCATACTCACTATGTTGGAAAGTATTTTTTTCTTTTTGCTTTGGTGGAGTGAGTAGTGGTCTAACCTCCAATGTATATCATTAACTTTAGTTCTTGTTTAGAGTGTGATAAGACTTTTAAATACCTACATATCATTTCCTTTTTTTGTCCACTTACAACAAAGGGAGGGATTAAACTTGTCCATTAAAGTGTAAAGTTGCAAACGTAAAGGAGGAAAGCCAAGCCAATTCCTTTATTTCTTGTTTTTGTTTAACTTAAAGTTCTCTTTTCTTCTATTATTTACAAACTCACAGAGTGGGACAAACGTCTTCCAAGCCAGGACCTACTGAGAATGTCTGATCAAATAGCAAAAGGTCAGGAGTTTGAGAAGAAAGCTGAGAAGAAACTCACTGGCTGGGGCTTCTTTGGGTCCAAGTATGAAGATGCTGGTGATCTGTATGAAAAAGCTGCCAATTGTTACAAGCTGGCCAAATCTTGTTAGTACTAATGCTTAAACATACATATTACTTTTTTTAGAATAGCTTATTGGCTGGGCTTCTTTGTCCGAGCCAAGCACAAGCCTAATTAGGAGCCTATGTGAGCCATGCATTTATCAGCCACTTGAGCGTAATTTATATACTTTTAACCATTTTGACTCCTGGGGGGCATCTTATAGTTTTTGAAGGGTTTTGATTTTAATTTACATGAGCCCATACGAGCAGGGCCTATATCGACTGAGCCAAGGCTCGAGCTTATGCGAGCCCATAGGAATAGAGCCTCTATAAGCCAACCCAAGGTTCAAGGTTTTGGCAAGGTGAGCCTAAGCTTGAGTATTCTGAGCTTGGCAAGCCATGAACAGAGTATCAGGATAATAACTATTTCACGAGCTGAGTAAGGAATGAGATACAGCTGAAAAATTACAGCTACAGACATTGCATGATGTTTATTTCTTTTTGCTTGCTAATCTTGACATATAACCTTTCAGGGGACCAAGCTGGATCTGTATATGTCAAGCTGGCTGAGTGCCATCTGAAAGTAAGTGCTTAATGCTGCTTTCAATAGCCCATTTGCTTGTCCCACTTGCATCATATCATCATTTAATGGACCCCATTGTAATCCTGAAATTTTGTGTTTTCTAGATGGATAGCAAACATGAAGCTGCTAATGCTTATGCCGATGCAGCTCATTCATACAAGAAAACAAACACCAAGGGTAAGCATGCACTAATTAGTTGAATGCATCAGCTTACATCGCTCCTGCAAGCATACTTCATCTACTGCTCATTAAGCAAAACAATTCATATTTGCAAATTTAGTTTTCATGGTTATCAATCTGAGGTTATAGGTTGTTATTTATGTCAAGCTCGCACGATTAGTTGGATGGTGACAAGGCTCAGTTATCCTATCATGGTGCACTATTCCATGTTTTTCGTTTTGATAACTGCGAGCGTCAGGACCTGAAGTTTACAGCTGGACAAACCTCCAGTGTCCCTGCGGGGACTCGAACTGATGACTAGTAGGGAGCAAAACCCTAAACCTGACCAGTTGAGCTACCCCCAAAGCACCATTCCGTGTTCATGGTGCTAGTTTCATATAACCTCTTAATTCACAAGTTAATGCAGATGACTCTTGTTAATGTTATTCTCCGTTTTTATCTTTCTTCTTGACCTGATTTATCATTTTTCTCTACCAAATGCCTGTCACCTAAATGTAAAAGTGTAAGACTATAAACATATTATTTCTCCTTTTTAAATTTAGAAAAGGTTTACGTTGTTATCATTGGATATTTGCAGAGTGCATAGCTCATCTAGAGCAAGCACTAAATATATTCATGGAAATTGGGAGGCTCAGTATGGCTGCCAGATATTGCAAGGTACAACATATGTCTGCTTTAGTTATGCAATCTCTTTGCTATATATTAATGTTTCTCAAGAGTCTTGTTCAGTTCTCTCAATTTCAAACATAGACCACTTCATTTGAATCACCTTTTTATTTTTATTTGATATGTCAATGAAATTTAAAGGGATGGATTTCTGATTTTCTTCTTTTAATTTAGGTTTAGCCAACATAGTTTCTATATTTTTTCTACTAAATAAAGATAACTGATGTAATGGGGAAGGTTCAGTTGGGGTACTTGGGTTTGGTCTAGTTGAATCAAGAATTCATTGATTGCTTAAAGTTTATGACCTGAAAGATCTCGATCTTGATGTCACTTATCTGTTCTTGATGTCACTTATCAGTTGGTATAACTGATTCATTTATGGACCGCTAGTAAAATTGGCATGTAAGGTTCTCACTAGAGCACTAGATAATGAAACTTGAGATTTGTAGATATTTCAGGCTTGGCCTTTTTCAAGAATGAATTCTGATATTTCTGTAGCTGGTAAGATCAACCACTCGTAATCTGATTGAGTAGTATTATATAATGTGCAATGATCATCAATTGGAAAGTGCTGAGGATTAGCCACAAATCCTTACATCTATAATCTACCAATGGCAGCTGACGGTTCCAATATGTTGGTGAAATCTTGGCAAGATTAAGAAAATTTAATCGTCATATTTTATAATTTGCATTAGAATGCATTCTACGTGTGGCCTATCATGCATCCTTAAACCTTGAAGTTGCAGAGTTTCGTTTCCAGATAACCTATAGGATTCAATTATTCCTATGAAGTTATGATAGTTGCTTGTAATTGTTTCCTATAGGCTATAAGTTAACTCTCAGCATGCTCCAACTAGTTTGAGATGGCAGCTTGTTATTGTTGTTGCTGATATGGTTAAATTTAAAGTAGAATCTGAACGATAACTATGTTATAGTTGGTATATGAATCTAACCTTATAGTTAAGAGCAGTCATATATCTTCGCTTTTATCATGTTTGATGCGATGCATATGATGAGTGGCTAGTAATTTAGCTTCACTTTGCACAGGAAATTGCTGAGTTATATGAACAGGAGCAAAATTTGGAGCAGGCTATAGTTTACTATGATAAAGCAGCCGATCTTTTCCAAGGTGAAGAAGTAACCACTTCTGCAAACCAGTGCAAGCAGAAAATCGCACAGTTTTCAGCTCAATTGGAACAGTATGTCTACTTCCTATATGTAGCGATCCGTATACTTTTAAGCCCATGGACTAATCATATCCACTGCACAACCTTCATCTCATACCGTGTAAAATGTTCTCATCTATATCGATTTTTACTAGCTAATTGTAGGTAATTTTGAAATGTGACTTCTTGAAGCTGAGTTTTGTTAAAACTCACTTTTAAGCATTCATGAAGTATGCATTATAAGATACGCCATGTCACTTGTTATTTCAATCTCATCATGTATGTTTGACTGTTTGTTTGGTCTACGTTGCTTTGTTAACTGCATTGATTAAACTGTATATTGCATTTGATCTATATTATTCTCATTTAATGTAAAACTAAATGGGGTTTAGCAATCATTGTTCCGCCATTCAAGCTATGAGATGCGGCAATAAAAAATGAACTAGGATTGGAGCCTGATATGGAATAGTAAGATGCCATAGCAGCAATGGGGTAGGTTCCGTGTCATCTATGATGAAGTCTATATTCTCTCTTTGTTAAATGATGTACCAAGGAAAATAATAGGTACTGCATATGGTTTTCATTAATTAAATATGTATGATTCTTGATAAGCAACCGAGCCTATGAAATGCATCAGTTATTTGAATTTATTAGAGTGGGTACTCATAAATACCTGGATCCATATTGAGTTTGTTCACCACTGCAAAATACACTGCAAAAGCCTTCTGTGGAATTTAGTTGACAACACTAGTATATGGTTTGGTTCATTTCATGTTGTTTCTTTTTACCTTTTCATCTGTCTCAAAGAGTTTGGCCAGTGACAGTCAATTTGGATAAGGTAACTTACTTTGCACCAGATACACCATTGGTGTTTCTTTAGTAATGGCAACGGAAGTAGATGGTACACAAACTGGCTCTAACACCCATGAAGTCTATGCCAATCTGTATACTAATGCCCTTACAATTTCTCTCTAGATATCAGAAAGCTATAGAGATTTATGAAGCGATAGCACGACAGTCTCTCAACAATAACTTGCTAAAATATGGAGTTAGAGGATATCTACTGAATGCTGGCATTTGCCAACTCTGTAAAGGTGATGTTGTTGCAATCACAAATGCATTGGAGCGTTATCAGGTCAATCCTAGCTCTTGTCAAGCATTTCAAAGTCTACTTCAAGGTTAGGTATACCTGACTGACAGTGTTGCTTGTTTCTGCAGGAATTGGATCCGACATTTTCAGGAACACGTGAATACAAATTGCTATCGGTATGTTACTAAAAGCTCATCATGTTATTTATATCTTTGAATTGCTGCAGCAATATTAAATATTAGGACAAAGTAAAAGGGACAAAAGAGGGCACTTACCATGTACATGAAGTACAAAGTTAAACAAGATTTGAGTTCTAACTCCAAAGATGCTCTCCAAGAAATCTGCATTCTACATCCTATGCAACGAAAAGCGTGCCTAAAAGTCAAGTGATGCTCTGTTTTGTACTTTGCTGACTCTCTTAGCTACAGAAAAGGCCAGATGGTTAATATGCTTTCATCTGTTACGGTCCCGCTTTTGTATTGTCCAGTGCCATCAAAGGCATGCCTAGGCCCAAGGCACGATGGGGCATAGGCTTCAGGGACTCACCTTGGCTGAGGCAAGGCACATTTTCGGTGTGCGCCTTGTGCTCAAGGCATGAGGCAAGGGACTCTATGTGAGTCTTATCAGTCAAGTTAAGTAGATATATTTTATGATTTATTTTCGGAAAAGAAATATTGTTCATTGTTTGAGAGGCGGCAGTTACTTATCTCGATTTTTGAATAGCAATAAGGTTCTATCGATTCATTAGGTGACGAGTTTGTGACCATTTTTTACCATTCTTTGGAAGGTTATTTTTGGTATTATATATTTATGATGCGTTCTTCATTGGCCCTTATCTGCTGAATAACCAACTATTTGAAATATATTATTGTACATTGATGACTTGAATACCATGTAGCTTTTTGTACATACATCTGGACATTTTCTTGCATATGTTCATCGCTTATTGTTGAACGGAATACAGCTGTTATAAAATTGTAGGAAAAATCACCTCATTGCTGTTGTTCGCCATGTAGTGATGCAGATCTTTTCTGTTCAAAGCTCGTTCTGTATTCGCATATAATTTTGGTGTATATGCGAATTGTTATTTTATTTTTAGTTTCTGTTTGAATTCCCTTTTGCTTATTTAAAATTATTATTTTTAACTTATTTAGTTATAAATTATAATTGATGTTCTTTAAATTTATATACATTATTTATTGATATTGATGGTGTAATTGTTTTATATGTTCTTAGTTTTATTAGCGGAGATATATTTATATGTGTGTGTGTGTATAATATTAAACTTAAAAAAAATCCATGCTCCTCACTTTACTGGATTAGTTTGGTTTGATACTTTGATAGGCATGTGCCTCACACGTAGGATCCTGTAGTACCAACCTTTGCTCCTTGGTGTGCCTCACACCTTAAATGACACTGGTATCATTGAAACACTTGTTCATATTTACTGCTCCATATAGTAACGATGGCATTGGTTTTTTCCTTCTTAACCTTTTAGGATATGGATTTCATCAGAACTTCAGATATAGTGTGTCATGCTTGCGGTGTATCATTTTAGTGCAATATGGTTGCCTTTTATTATAGCTAAGAAGCTTGTCCTCTTTCCTTCTTTTCTGGCTTTCTTGTTATGGTGCCTATATCAATCTTATAAAGCATAAACAAAATGGTCCAAGGGCAAAAGGAAGGTGGGGGGAGGAGCACCTGGCCTGTCAAAGATGATCTCACAAGCACTCTGCTCTATGAAATATGTAGTTATCAATTTTATTTTGTCTAGTGCTAATATCTGATACTTTTCAGGAAAGAATAATATTTGATACTTGTTGGCTGTACAGTAAGACTGGTATATACTAAGATTGGCTAATATAAGCTGTCCTCTCTGTTAAGTTTTGTTGATTTGAAACAAATTTTTGGAGGCAATTCATCTCATATATCCCATATCCCAGAACTGAAATTATGTGGATATAAAGCGTTGAGGTTCTTCAAAGCTTGTTTATTGTCATTTTCACAATGACTAATAAGTTGGAACAGTTTATATGCTTTTTAGTCCATGGGCTATGCTTAGGATGAAAGAATTTTGTCTTTGTTAATGGCAGGATTTAGCTGCTGCAGTGGATGATGAAGATGTTGCAAAGTTCACTGATGCTGTGAAGGAATTTGACAGCATGACTAAGCTGGTAATAGGATATCTCAATTATCATCAATCTGGTCATCTTTTTACCTCCCTATTTTTTGACTTCTTCTCGGGTTTGCTCAGTAAATCTAAAATAAAGGGGACATTGGGAAATGAACACCGAATTGATGTAGTTAGAGAAGTCTTCAATATGCATCCATCTTATATTCTTATTAAAACATAAACACACAATATCAAGAAAGCATACTGAAATACTTTGCTAGTGTTTAAAGAAACCTGTTCATTTGTAGTGAAAGAAGACACATTTCCCCAATTATTATCCAAAGGCTTGTTTTAATGAGATATAGGTGCATACATATCTACCTCATCGAAGTATTTTTGACCGCTAAATCTGAAATTCTGAATGTGTTTTTTAATATGATAGGACGAGTGGAAGACGAGCCTTTTGTTGAGAGTGAAATTGTTGCTGAAGGCGAAGGAGAACGAGGATGATGATGATCTTACTTGAACCAACATATATGCTTGATTGTGGGTTTTTGTTTAGGGTGAGTGATGCTAATGTATGTAATGTAATTCCATTTGAGGAATTAAATATGTGCATTTTGGTGGTTTTGTAGAGGATGGCCATATACTGCATTGTCCAACATTTGGATCTGTTTCATGTGTGCATTCAAAACCTTTAGTTTTTCCTTAATAACATGAAGCCTTGCCACTCCTAATTGTATTTGTATTCACTTAATTCACTCGTAATGCCCCAAAGCCCAAAGCAATCGTTAGTCCCTCCCATAGTCGTCCTTGTAATTGGCGATTGAGATTTGTCTACAAGACGTTAAAAACATCCCCTCTTGGGGATTCATCGTGCTCAATGAGGCGTGCCTTATCATCCCGAGTCCCAATACAAGAATCAGTTTTGATACCATTTATAATACTTTAAAAAGCTCAAAACAATATGTTGGTTCAATAATTTTGGATTTAATTTACAATTATAATATAAATGATTGATAGTTTATCTATACTATATTATAAAACATTTGACAAAAACTCTTAAAAACCATTTTTTATGCATGAAACATTTTTTATTGATGCATATTACTTAAAATTCAAGATTACAAGTAAATTGTACGTAGCGTAAGTATAACTTATTAAAGTTTTATGTTTGAATTCATGTAACTAATCACGGATAAACATAATAAAATAGAGAACAAATATCTCATTTTAAATATTAAAAATCTAAAATATAATTAGGATAATAATTAAATTTTAACAAAATACTTAATTATTATCTTTATAAAAAATATATTATAAAACAAAAAATGAATTAAAAATATACACAAAAAAGGAAAAAATTTAAATAGTCGGTACTAATATTAATAAAAAAAATTCAATTTTTATGATATATCTTCATATTTATATGTTGTTCAAAAATAAAAACATTATCGTTTTCTCAAAACCACATAAAACTGCATTATAACATCGACTGAGACAAAAAAAAAAAAAACATTAAAATCAAGATGTATATCACTGCATTATGTAAGCACCCTTCTAATAACTTTAACAGGTTTCTCAATTTGTTTTTATATAAACATGGACGAATTGTCACACTATTGTAACTCAAATATATGTGAATCTTTGACTTGCACTTTACTAAGAGTTGTTTAAACCACCACCACGTGGACTTGTTTCACTTTTTATTTTATTAATGTTGGTGTATTTTATAAATTGATACTTAAGATAAGATAGAGGATATCTAATCTACCATTAAAAATATTAAAATAGAGGTATTTTTAATTCTAACCTATTATTATAATATTATAAAAATGGAAGTTATCAAATTTGACCTCTATATTTGNTAATATTTATTAAGTTTTTATAAATATATGTATATATATATATATATATATATATATATATATATATATAAGGGTTAAATCATGTGAGGAACGAAAAAGGTTGAGGATCTTGATGACTTATCTAATTCATAGATTAGTTTAAATCAGAGGTCATTAAAAAAAGAAACATATTTGTAATAAAATGTTAAAATAAGGGTATTTTTGTCAAATTGAAAATAGATTGAAACGCTATTCTGGGCTAGACTCAAATTAAATTATTTTGGAGACACCAAATCACTTCTCATACAAAGTTTGAAAGTTACACAGTCCTCACCAAGTCGGATCATACCCTAATTTGAACTTGGGAGCTTGAGAAGGTTATCAATGACAGAATAGTATAAGCCCTAACGCATCAAATCGTGCATTCATTATAAATCGTTCTACAAATGTAGGGAGACGGAAGAAAGGGCTCGTCTAGTCCTGTTACGAAGTTTGCGGTGTATCAGAAACTCTGTTGTCTATGCTGCCATAACCATAAACAACGATTGCCCCTCCAAATCTGTTTTCCTTTTCATTCTTTCCATGTCTTTTGCTTCTGCTTTCTCTCTTTTCTCCTTCGTTCTAAGGTACCTTACATACCTCCTGCTTTTCCTCATTATTACAATAACTTTTTTGTTTCGATTCCGATTGCATTGGTCAACAAAAGCATTGTTGTAGTTGTTTATGCTATTTTCATACCAGATCAATTTTTCATTCTTCACATTCGTTTCATCTTTATCTCCGTCACTGATCTTTGATTGGAAGTGAAATTGCACAATCAAAATTGCTAACTAAATTTAAGGTGATGCATCTCATCCGATAATAAAACTTGATTTGAATCTAACTAAAACTGTATTTCATCTAGAAAAACAAGATGAATCACTTATTCACTTTATGAAAAGTGCAAACACATTCAAACATTGATAGAAAAGTTGTTAAAGCATTTTAACCTTATAAAAAAATTATTATGTGGTGTAAAAGGTATGTTTAAATTTGTAATTGAATTTGTTTCGTAAGCTGACACAATGACTTTTTTGGAATTTATATCGTGAATATGTTTAATAAAAATCAACAACGATTCATCTTCTGAGTTTATTCATGAGGAGAAACATTGAATCTGTTTATTAAGCAAATTCATAAGATTCACCTTATAAATTGACTTGCATTTGATAACAAAAAATCGTTTATGCATACGTTACCCACTAAAATTTCGGGTAATGGATAAATGAATAAAATTTTCTTTATCCATACCCTTATTCAACGGGTCGAAACATAAACGAGTAACGGGTTTACCTTTACCTATTGTCAGCCTTACTTTCACAAGGATAATCGTATATCCGAATCTTGTGAAATGATTCAATTGGTGAATCTCTGTTTCTATCAAACAAATATTGAATTTCAATCATCTGAATCATGAATATCGAAATACAGTGCTCTGAAAATCTTGAAATACAAAGATTGCATGCATAAAAGAAACTTATTAATTATATAAAAAATATCATATTTGTTACCAAAATGACGATTATGTCCATTTTTAGTTAAAACTCCCTTTAAATTATAACCATAAGATAAAAATTAGTTTAGGGCTTATATCGATCCTCACGATCTTCAACATTTTATGGTTTTCATTTGATTACCCTCTTTATATATATATATACACACACACACACACACACACACACATATATATATATATATATGTGTGTGTGTGTGTGTATCATGTATGTATATATATGGAGAGAGAGAGAGAGAGAGAGAGAGAAGGGGACGAAAGTTCAAGGAAAGCCCCCAAAAAATGAAAAAAAATGAAAAAAAATTGAAAAACACTTCGGTAACCGCTCATCTGGACGATGTGCATATTTGCATACAAGTAATTAAAGATGATTTTTGACTTTTTATGTACGTGTGCATATATAGGTCAGGTTCAGGGGAAAACCACAAAAACATGAAAAACTGAGAAACACCATAGTAACCATTCATCTGGACGATATGCATATGTGCATACAAGTAATTTGTAAGCAATTTGTCTGGTATTGTCTGGTATGCACAAGTGGATTATATATATATATATATATAGAGAGAGAGAGAGAGAGAGAGTGTGTGTGTGTTAGGGAGGGAGACTATTAGTTTAGAGGAAGAATCATGCGAGAAGACGAGAAAGAATATGAGCCATATACGTTATTAAATAAAATAAAAAAAATTATTTAATTTTTTATATAGTATTATCTGTAACCTGATAATAGTCCTTGATAAATCGGGTTAGAGTTTGTTTCCCAAATGGATTTCTAATAATCCTATTAAATCGATTTCATCACAAAGATAAATTAGTAAAAACAAAAATATGATTAACTTTATTATAATTTTAGTCGATGAAACTTAAACATACATAAAAACATTCGTATACTCATAAAACATTTAAGGAAAAAAATTTCTTAGCAAAAATAAAAGAAAATCATAACATTGGCCATAGTTTTATCCCAAGATAATAACATAAATCCGAATACACAAAATAGAAGTTAAGAAAATCATTTGCGATTCCACCAAGATAATCACAATATTGACAGTGTGAGGTTTTGAGATCCTTCGCCTTGATTTTGGTCTCGTTGCTCTTGATTCCCAACATCTTCTGTGATAACCGGGTATTTAGATATAAAAGTTCGGGGTGATTTTTGAAAGGTGATGGTAAATGAAGGGGTTTAATTTGTGTATGTGCTTAATGTTTACAATAATCCTCACCGCCTAAACTCATGGGAGAATGTGATTAATTATTTTTAGAAACCTGCACTACAGGTTTTTTGTGTGTGTTCTCTTGTGTGTAAAGTAAACAAGTCTGTAAAGGGAAGAAGAAGTTGATTATGTGATTTCTACTTGAATTTATTGCTATGATTAATTCATCTTCATCTTTGTGAACATAAGGTGAGTTTAATTTATCAACTTTCTTATTTGGTATTTGAAATTTGAACCGTATGGTTCTTACATGGGGATGATGATAAAATTGTTTATGGATGCTATTTGAGTATGATGGTGAGACTAGGTATAAAACCGTATGGTTCTTTATATGAGTTACTGTTATGAAACTGTCTTGATGCCAATATTGGTAAAATTGTGGTTTTTATCATGATTATATCATGTGTCTTAATAATGGTGACATAATCAGGAGTTGGGTAAATTTGTAATAAGGGTGACATACGCAAGAGCTGGGTAAACTTGTAATAAGGGTGACATAATCAATTTTCTGGAAATGATCGTTTTTATCATGGGGTTTTGTTATCACATCCTTATGATGCGATGATCATGAGTTATCGCATTTGTGTGACACGATGACTTGGGTTGTCGCATCTTATTGGTGTGATGAAATGAATTGTTTTATAACCAGAGAGACTATGGTTGGCTAGAGGGCCTCTAGTTGGCCTAGTTTAGGGATGGCTTTACTTCTAGTTGTTGTTTTGATAAAGTGAACAGTTGTTGAGGAACCAGAGGGGATCTAGTTGTATTTGAAATCCAAGTTCTTTTTCAAGTGTTTAACCATTTCTTGTCCCCAGAGGCTCTGGATAGACGAACCAGAGATTTTGGTTGACCAGAGGGGCTCTGGTTTGTAAGACTAGAAGGCCTTTGGTTAACCCTTGCTTCTGGTTGGCCTTACTTTTGGTTGGTCTTACTTTTGGTTGGTCATGCTCTAGTTGGTAAGACTAGAGGGGCTCTGATTGGTATTTCTCTGTACACTACAAAAATGCAGAGTATCAGCGAGGGAAAAATCTCTCGCAAATCCGTCGCTAAAAGGGCAATCCTTCGCTGATACTCCGTCAGTCAAATAGTCTTAGGTAATGCTATCAGCGACGGATATCAGCGAT